GGGTAGTCACACCAAATATTGATTTGATTTGGATTTTACTTCTGTTCGCTCATTTTGCATTTTGTAAACTGATAAACATAAACAATTACAGTATATATTTTTGAAAGCATTCTTACTTTACAGCATTTTTTCACACCTTAAACAATTACAGTATATATTTTTGAAAGCATTCTTACTTTACAGCATTTTTTCACACCTTAAACAATTACAGTATATATTTTTGAAAGCATTCTTACTTTACAGCATTTTTTCACACCTGCCTAAAACCTTTGCACAGTACTGTATATATATGTATGTATATGTGTGTGTATGCATCTGTGTGTATACAGAGAGAGAGAGAGACAAACATATTACAGATTTCAGGGTAAGCAATATTATGCCCAGCTCAGAAAAGGAATAAGAAATAGTAAACCAAAGAAATTAAAAGCATGAGATAAGAAAAAGAAAATAGAGCTAAATCTAGTTTATAGCAATATAATTCACTATACTTTTCCATATCTTTGTATTCTTACAAACCATCATTGTTTTCAGATTTGCCTTCTTTCAAATTGCTATATTATTTTCCAGTGAGTCCAGCAACCTTTATTTAATGTACCAGTTATAACATAGTCAGATATCCTTTGGCTGCTTCAGAGTGACGATAAGATATACTATATATTTAGTACAGAGAAACCAGCACAACAACTTTCCCCTTTCTAAAAAACAACTATCCATATGAAGAACTTTTTAGAAATGTAAATACCTAGATAATCCTGTTATAAAGGAAACACAACACGAAGAGATAAGCCATTTAAGAAGCAACCAAAGCCTTGAGGGAAGCAACAGAGCTCTTCAAAGCTAGAAGATTAATCTCCACAGGAGTTCCAAAAATGAAATAGAGGAAACAAGCTGTTATGTGAATAAGGATTAAATAATAATTTTCTTTTCTTGCTTTCTATATTTCTGGGATATAAGGACTAGAATTCTTCTTGATCTTCAAAGTTCTTGAGAATCTAACAGGAAATTACTTGATGACATGATACAATGAACTGTGGAAAAATTCAGCTGAATGATGCAGAAAAAAAAGGGTAACTGGGGGCAGATATAGAGGATTTTCCAGTATTTCAAGTTAAATAGATACTTTTTAATCCAGAGCTGCACAACCTGAGACTCCAAGGCCACCTCTAAAGTACTGAATGTCCATGAATGTGTCAGAAGAGGAACACTATGAACTACATGACAAGGGACCATGTTAACTTTGCTTATTTTTAATCATATGTAAATGAAATGAAATCAAATTTAGATTTCATCCTGGGTCCACCCATTATTTTTAGTATGCAGTCCCTAGTATGCAACACAGAGACTAAGTATAGCCCTTGGCCCAGAAAAAATTGTGTTAGTCCACATCTGGTTCTTTGCTAAAGAGTAAACAAGGCATTTCAAGCTTTCACTTATCAAGCAATTCACTTCTCAGTGTGAACCTTCTAGAAAGCAGAGAGGTTGAACCCTTTCATATCCTCTATGGATCCAACACTATAGGGACAGTATAACAATACTAAATGTTCATATAGAATGGTAAAATTATTAGAAGGTGAAGCCAATGGGCCTGACATAAGAGCACTTATCCTGACAAATAAGTTTTAATATGGTGTTAAATGGAGACTCACCAACTCCAGAATTTCATCAACAACTACAGATCAGTAACTGGAATAGATTAATTCTAAGAGACAGACTGTCTTTTTGAAGCTGTGGTAGATCAGAATAATTTCTGCACATCTTTTTCTCATCTTGCTACTGAAACAATTGAGTGGCTCTCTAACAACGCAAGGAAAATGCCTTGCAGGCCATTCCCCATGGTGATATGAGTATTTTGAAGTAATCAAACCTTCTTCAAACCTTCCTAAATTAAATGAATGCCAAATGAAAACTGAAAATAAATAGGTAAGAACATCTGGTGAACCTACAATATTCTTAAATGTACTGAAAGGGATGACAAGTTCATACCACATACCGTTTGTAACATGTACAAGCTTATAACGGTACATATAGTTTATACTGTGAGTCGCCCAGAGTCAGTCTGGAATCAGGCAGTGCCTAAGTCAATCAATCAATCAATCAATCAATCAAATAAATAAGCAAGCCCCATTTGCCCAAGGCTACAATTGAAGTGTTTTGCCCACCTAGTTTCTACTTCTTGACCAAGTCCATATATTTAAAAAAAATATTCTGGAAATGTTGGAAAAAAGATTATTCCTCATCTATAAACCTTCCAAACATGTCAAAGGAGTCAAAGCTCATGGTTAGGTGATTACTATCTCAAGTCTTTTTCAGTATTGTTTATGAAAATGTAGCTTTGTTTTTATCATACTTGAAAAAAGAAAACATATAGCATTCTATGAGGTTATGCATGGTAACCAACTAGAAGGACTACACAGTTTTTTTCTGGTGAATTTTCTCTTTATTGCTTAGCAGCAAGTTTGATTCAGAGAAGTTGTGCTTTCTTTCTCCTCTCCTTTCTTTTCTAGGAATACATCTCTGGCTTTCCCTTTCAACATCTAGACACTGTTCTAAGTTGGAACTTGGCAACCTTTTTAACCAGGTGATTGACCTTGGCAGTTTTCCCAGACCTTCTGTATGAGAGACTGAAGCATCTCTTCACCACTTGTTTGAGATAGCTATTCCCCTACACAGAGTTGCTAAGGATTTTACTTTCTTGTCTTTTCCTTTTCTCCTAGGGAGATAGAGATTGCTAGTTGCCCCTCAACTGGTACTTTTTGCCACTATAATTCACTTTCTCTTCCACCCAAGATCCCTTACAGGTTAATCTCACTACCAGGTGCTAGTGCTTAAGACAAAATCTAGAGGGACAAGTGCACAACGCAAAAAAGCCCAGTGTATTCCCCATTGTGTGTCTGCTTACTCTCTTGTAATCCCTTCCTCTCCAATCTCTCTGCTCTGCAAGGGGTGGGGAGAAAAACAACAGACCAGGCACAGGACAATGCATATTGACTGCAATGGTGATCATGTGACTGAGGGACACTATGAAAGTTGCATATATGGCCATTGGTTGTAAAGTTAGTTTTTCAGCACCGTCATAACTTTGAACAGTCACTGAACAAGGCAGTCAGTAAGTGAGGTCTACCTGTTCTTGCAGGATGAGCACAGCATGGCTGCAATGTAGTTTACACCAACACAATTCACTATACCTCCTGTATCTTTCCATCCTTGCAAACGACCCTTGCTTCCACCATGCTTATACACGGCTTCTTACATTTCTTCTTGATCGTTAAACTTCTCACCTCTTTCTTTTTGATGTTCTCAACAGCTCCATTGAGCCACAATTTTCTTCATTTTCTGTTTTTCTTGACCTATTCACTTTTCCTTCATATATTAGTTTTGCAATTCAATTCATTCTTTACGACAATACCACTTCAACATACTTCTTTCATATTGATACTAATTTTTGTATTCAATCCATATTCATTCAGCACCTATTCATTCTTGATCCTATCTCTTTTGAAGAAACCCATTCCCACTGCATTCATCTTACTTTTATGTTCTCTTGGCATACTTAACTCTCACTTCTATATAACAAAGGGGGGAGAAACATACTCTTATACACAGCCATTTTCATTTCTTTTAGTAAACATTCATTCCTTGCAACAGACTACATACTACTCATTACCTTTCTTTCACTACATTTGCACATCTTCAAATGTACACAACTTTGGTAAACACTACTTGCTCTAGTTTTCTGCCATTTATTCATAGCTTGCAATTCTTCATTCTTTTTTCCCTATCAAACACAACTATCTTGGTCTTTAACACATTAATTTTCAGATTCATTCTCCTCACTGCATTGTGTATGATATCCTAATATTTACTGCAAATCATTCAGGTTCTCAACCAACAACAGAACATAATCTGCCTACAGAAGTACATTCATGTCCCCAAGCAATACACCTCCAACATCACCACAAGCATTCTTTACATACTTATCCATAAATGTATTAAACAACAAAGAGGCATCCCATATCCTTGTCTTATTTCCTGCTCAATGTTGAACCATTTGCTAAGCTTTCCATTTATTCTCATCTATAATTTCCTTCCATCACATATGCTTTTACATAACACTTTTTAGTAAGATAAAAAAAGTTTACCAGCCAGGGGTATATGCAGTGAGGGGGACAGAAAAGTCAAGATATAGCCACATGGCCGCAGTCCCATCCTCCTTTACATTATCACAATGCAGAGAAAAAAGGTGTGGGGCTTTGACCACATGGTTATGGCTACTATCTTGACTTCTTTGACTCTCCTGAGGACACCCTTGTTACCAGCCCTAGCCACATGCAGCATTCCTGTTATTGGAAAGGACAGTACCAGTCAATTTTGGCACATTCTGGCCAGTATGCCACAAGGGCGAGCAAATGCCAGTTTTACCCCAAGCAAGCCCCTGCTATTCTAGGCAAGCCAGGATTTCTCCACATTCTACCAATTTGGAGGCACATGTAGCATGCTGACACATTCTCTGGTTACCTAAACTGAATTCATAATAATGAGGTTTGTTGTCCCAAACACCTTATAGCAGGGATGCACAATCCATAACTAAGAGTCTTCAAGACTGCACCATCAACATTCAGCAATATAAGGAGGCAGTTCTCCGTGGACTGGGGTAGAAAATCATATCAAGTAAGTACACTAGATTTCTGAGAGGTTAACCTATCTATAAGAGGGGGAGTGAAGTCCATCACCATAACAAAAAAAAGAAAAAGGGAGAAAAAGGCAAATCAAAATCCTGACCCACCTACTCTGGAGACTTTGTAATGTCTTAGTCCTCTGCAACTCCCACCCAGTGAAAAAAGGATATGCATCTTACCTTAGAGGTTCAAACTAATTCCTTGAATTATATCCAGGACAAGATAACTAAACACATAAATAAACAACATAGACTACATTTGAAACCCAGGAATCAGCGCAGAAAACATTTTCTAAAGTTCTGAAAAATCGCAGTATGCTTTTACCTTTGCAGTTTTTCTTCTAACATTTCCATATACTTGAGAGTGTTTTCTTTTAACTTCTTCTCTGTAAGGCAAACATTATTTATTTTCACTGAGAGAAGACAGAAAAAAAAGTATAACAAATTTTACAGAAATTGCTTGGATGAGAGAATTTTATTTATTTTGCTCCAAATGGAATTTTCTTCCATTCAGTTTTCAGACTTGAAATCAAACAAATAAGTGTTCTTTAATAAAACTCTTTCTCAGAAATACCCAGCTGCTAAACATTACAAGTGAAATAAGATACATGAAAGGAAACACATCAGTTTATCCAAAGATGGAGAACATACACGTCAAGGTCTTTCTTCAGCTTTAAATGTTTGTCTACAGAACGACCCAGCTACTGAGTATGATGGCCTGACAAGAGTAAAATGAATATGTCCTATGTTTATAACAATCTTAGAACTAAGCACTCCAAAGACATAATTTATACAGATAAGGCTTTAAGATGTCAGTATTAATTAAATTTAACACCCTACATCCATTACCAAGCATCTGCATAAAAACATGGAGAAATTGGTCCATAACACTTATGGATCAGTAATATTGCAGAGATACCCTCACTTCAGGAATGCATCCTGTCTGAAAAAGAAACATATTCACTGCCTAAAAGATGGAAAATGGGAAAACCTATAACATTAGATGGATTGCCATGTCCACCTGTGTTTCTCCACTAAACAGTCTGATGTTTCTGATAGAGGGAGACAAACTTATCAGGATGGGCTTTTCTTTCTCTAGCTTCTGGTGATCCAGAGACATGGGCGTTATGTACTCCAGTTTGGCTAAAAGTTTTTCTCCATTTAGTACCTATTAAAAGTATATCATCTAATTTAGTTTGAAAATGCTTATACCATGCTTTTTACCAGGGGCTAGAGGAAGTCTATCCTGCTTGGTCCACAGCCTGCCTAATGTAAAACAAAAAATTCACATTAAATGTTTTATATAAAGCATATCATCTTTATGCCAGAGGTTTTTTAAATAAAAACTTTATTAAATTTTTAAACAAGAAAGATAAAAACTAACAAGAATTAGTATTTAAGATAAAGGAAAAAAAGAAAATAAAGAAAGAGATAACAAAGCTAAAAGTGCAAAAAGAAAAGAAAGACTCCTGCTTGAGGAGCAGATGGTGGTCGTGGCTAGGAGGGCCTTTGCACAGCTTCATCTTGTGTACTAGTTGTGCCTGTTCCTGGACCAGCAGGCCCTGTTTACAGTCATTCATGACCTAGTCACCTCCAGATTGGACTACTGTAATGCACTCTACATGGGGCTGCCCTTGAAGAGTATCTGGAAGTTTCGGCTGGTACAGCAGCATCGGCAGTTTTGTGCGCTCCTAGAGCAGCGCATGTCACACTACACCTCTGCTCCGCAACCTGCATTGGTTGCCAGTTTGCTTCTGGGTCCAGTTCAAGCTGCTGGTTTTAACCTTTAAACCCCTTCATGGCATGGGACTGGGTTATCTGAGGGACTGCATCTCTCCAACTATATCAACCCACCCCATTAGATCTAGCAGAGAAGGCATGTTGAGGGTATCATCAGCTAGGGATGTACATTTGATGGGTCCCAGGCATCAGGCCTTCTCTGCTGTGGCGCCCACCTTGTGGAACATTCTTCCCCCCGATATTAGATTAGCTCCATCCCTTTTGACCTTCCAGACATCCCTCAAGACCTAATTATGTCACCAGGCCTGGGACTCACAGGGAATTGGAGACATGCTTAGATGGCTCCACTGTTGAGTTACCTATCCTTATTCAATCTTGCCTAAGGTTTGTACATTTGTTTTTTATCATATTTATCTTTTAATATTGTTTTTTATATTTATACATTGATTGTTTATGTATATGTTGTTTCTGTTGGACTGTTGTAAGCCACCCAGAGTCACTTTTCTGTGAGATGGGCAGTTATACAAATTTGATTAATAAATAAAGAAAAGAAAAAAAGAAAAAAATATAAAGAAATGACTTTCGATTTTCTTTTACAACAGCTATAGATATAGATTTAAATTGAACTCTTACTCTAGAGTTCCAG